GCTGGGACTGCAAGCCACACACCATGTCCAGCTAATTTTTTTTTTTTTTTTTTTCAGAGAGGGTCTCACTGCATTGCCCATGCTGGTCTTGAACTCCTAAGTTTAAGCTATCCTCCCACCTCAGCCAAGCAAAGTGCTGGGATTACAGGTGTGACCCACCTCACTTAGCTTTGCTTGGTGTTCTCTGAGTTTCTTGTATCTGTGGTTTTGTGTCTGTCGTTAATTTTGGAAAACTCTAAGCCATTATTTCTTCAAATATTTCTTCTGCTCATTATCTTCTGCCCAAAATTAGCCAGGCGTGGTGGTGCATGCCTGTAATCCTAACTACTTGGGAGACTGAGGCATTATCTTTGTCTTCTCCTTCTAGGATTCTAGTTGTGCATATTTTACACAGATACTGTCCCACAGCTTTTGGATGTTATGTTCTGGGTTGATTTTATTTTGCTTTCATTTTTTTCTGTTGTGTTTCAGTTAAGGTAATTTTTGTTAACTTATCTTCAAGTTTTACTGATTTTCTTTTCAGCAGTTTAGAGCCTACTGATGAGCCAACTAAAAGCATTCATCATCTCTGTTATGGTATTTTTCATGTCTTACGTTTCTATTATTATTTAATTATAGGTTCCATCGCTTTGCTGTAATCACCCATATGATCTTGCATAGTATCCACCATTTTTCTTGACATATTAACTTTTTTTTTTTTTTTTTTGAGAGAGTCTCGCTCTGTCACCCAGGCTGGAGTGCAGTGGTGCGATGTTGGCTCACTGCAACCTCCATCTTCTGGGTTCAAGCGATTCTCCTGCCTCAGCCTCCCAAATAGCTGGGACTACAGGCTTGCACCACCACGCCTGGCTAATTTTTGTATTTTCAGTAAAGATGGGGTTTCGCCATGTTGACCAGGCTGGACTCGAACCCCTGACCTCAGGTGATCCTCCTGCCTTGGCCTCCCAAAACCATAATTTTTTAAAGTTCTCTCTCACTTGCAAAATCTGTTACCTGAGTCTGGTTCTGATGATTGTTTCATGTCTTCAGAATGTTTTCTTCGTGGCTTTTCATATAGCTCTATATATTTTGTTAAAAGCGACACATCTCACATAGGACAAGATACTTTGGGGAATAGTGTCTACACCTGAAAGTGAGGCGGCCTTTCCTGCTGCTAAGACGTTTGTTACAGAGGTTGAATTAATGTATTATGGCTGGTGGAAAAGTAATTGCGGTTTTCACATTTTTTAATGGCAAGAACCAAAATTACTTTTGTGCCAACCTAATAGTAGTTAGGAGTTGTGCACGGTTCAAGATTAGATTTGCTGTGATTTTCCTTAGTGGTCTCGAGTTCCTGTGATGATACGTTGTATTTCACAGTTGTGTTCACGTATTTCACAGTTGTGTTCACGTTGTGTTTCTGACCCTGAGTTTCCAGGCTCAGAAGCTTTGTGCTGTGTCTCTGAGAGGGTCTCTCTCTGTGCTTCCGTTGCTCTGCTGTCCTCCTGGAAATACTCTGCTGTTACTTGAAGTGTAACGGGGGCTGGGGAGGAGCTGGCGTTCTGGGATTAAGTTGCAGTTTTAGGCACTGTGTCCTTAGGTTTGGGAGGGTCTGTGTTTACTTGCCCCCTTCCAGCTAATTACTGCCCAGCCACGCATCCTCCAGATGAGGTGCGTCCTCACCATCACCACCAGTGGTATTTCTGCCCCTCCTCCGGGATGGGGCTTTTCTTCCCTCTGCCACAGTGACTTTTCACCAGTGTCCAGACGGCACAGTATTTGTGCCCCTTTTCCCTCATAGAATGCTTCTGTTCTGTGAGATGAGAGAAAGCGTACAGTAAGTTCCTTTACCCATGACCAAGGCCGCTGTATACTTCCCTGGGTGTGTGCGTCACAGCTGACACTTCTTAGGGCTCTTTCCAGTGTTTTCTCTGAGCCCCTGGTAGAGATTGTGAAGAAAAAGCCTGGAAGATAGGGCAACTCCCTCAGTTTCTGCAGGCCCCTGGGTCTTAACACTCTTGCAGCCCATATTCTGCCTTCACTAATCATCACTTTTAGGAAGGCTGTTCTTTTCAGTGTCTGTTTACAACGGCCCTACCGAAACTAGTGCTAATGTCTTCTCTCCCCTTGCAGGCAACTGCCCCTCTCTGTTTGGGGCCATTTGGTTACTCTGCACCCTCAACTTTCCAATGGATTCGAAAAAAAGTCCTAATTTATAGTTCATCTGGCTCATTTGCATTGTAAGAGTGGAAGAAATGCTCCTTCTACCCCTACATCCCAGAGTGGAAGCTGGAAGTGCTGTGATTTAAATATATATATATATGTGTGTGTGTGTGGAAAATACACATTTTATTGAATGTAAAACATAACTGTAATTAATTCTAAAACCAGAATTCAGAAAATCATGAGCCATTTTTAATTTTTTATCTAAATTTTTTAATGTTTAAATTATAAAGGTGATAAGATGAGAGAAATTTGGGAAATAGAAAACCCCAAGAGCTATTTTCTTTTTTGCATATTCATTTGAATCTTTATGTGGTACTATTTTTAGATTTCTCCTCATTCTACCTCTCATTCTCACATCTACCAATACATGCCTTCATAGTCTAGATTTATAGAAGTTTTAGAACTCTGCCTAGGGATGCTTAAGAGCAGATGATAAGATTAACCACAGTGTAGTTTGGGACATCAATTGTACGGGCTGCTCTCTTTCTAAAATCCTTTTCTCTGGCTGGCATGTTGACCAGGAGTCTCCCTTCCCGCTCTGCCGACCCTGCTGGCCAGAGTCCTTGCCCGAGACCTTCAGGTCAGTCAGTGTCTCCTGGTGTGCATTTGGGAAAGACTGCTCCATAGGCTCACCTCCCACTGGGTTTCATTTGACCTGGTGAGCCCGCAGCAATTCGATTTGGCTTAACTGGCCACCCCTAATCCTGTAGCTGTCATACTACTCAATGTAATGACTAGCAGGGACAACTTTTTCATCTTTAGTTAAACTCCAGTTACTCATTTGGAAAATGGCTTCTCCAAATGTGTATCATTCTTGACAGTTTTTCACATTTGTTTCCCTGGTCCTAAAGCAAGATTATAAAAATCAAATAGAACCTGTGTGTGAGGGCCCTTGTTTGCACAATGAGGAGAGGACACCCCTCATCTGGAGGTTGCACGACTGGGGCAGCATCCTACAGCTCAGCATAAGAGGCGAGGCAAGCTCAACCAACTGCCCAGGGAAGAGCACTTCTTCCTAAAGCCAACAGTTGGGGCTCTCAGAAAAGAATGTGATGTTTGAAATGTAAATAAGGGATCTTCCATAAGGTTATTCCTAGGCCAAGCAAAGGGAGGTTCCCTAAAGCACAATAGAAAAAGTGTTCTTTACTAATTGCTGTTAAGATGACAGATGGGGCCAGGCATGGTGGCTCACGCCTGTAAATCCCAGCACTTTGGGAGGCCAAGGCAGGCAGATCACTTGAGGTCAGGTGTTCAAGACCAGTCTGGCCAACATGGCAAAACCCGGTCTCTACTAAAAATACAAAAGCCAGGTGTGGTAGCCCGCGCCTGTAATCCCAGCATCTTGGGAGACTGAGGCACAAGAATTGCTTGAACCTGGGAGGCAGAGGTTGCAGTGAGCTGAGATTGCACCACTGCACTCTAGCCAGGGTGACAGAGCAGGACTTTTGTCTCAAAAAAAAAAAAAAAAAAAAAAAGACAGATGGAACCTTGCAATGATAAAGAAAATGATGCACTTTGGGAGGCCAAGGTGGGAGGGTGGATCACCTGAAGTCAGGAGTTGGACATCAGCCTGGCCAACATGGTGAAAATCCCGTCTCTACCATGAGCTGGGCGTGGTGGTGTACGCCTGTAATCCCAGCTACTTGGGAGACTGAGGCAGGAAAATCGCTTGAACCTGGGAGGCGGAGGTTGTGGTGAGCCAAGATCACATCACTGCACTTCAGCCTGGGTGACAGAATGAAACTCCATCTCAAAAGAAGGAAAGGAAAGGAAATGATGCACACTGACAGCAACCGGGGGCGGGTGTGGGGGAAATGCTCAGTTATGCAGCTTGTCGGCACAGTCATTTCTGATAATTTGGTAACTTGGGTTTTCTATGATGTTCAAATGATTTTACTGTACCTAGTAGTTCCCTTCTGACTTGCTGTGTGCTGCTGCTTCAGAAAGAGGTGTTCCTTTTGATCTAAGTAATACTATATTTTAGGGAATTTTTTCAAATGTAACACTTATTAATCAAAATGTTCTTTTTCTATCATTCCCTGCTTTAGTAAACCCCTTCAAATATGTCATTCTTTCAAAACTTCACCTTTTATTTTTTCCTCAATTGTTTGTTCATTTGGTACTATATAAAGTCATGCCAAGGACTAAATGAATTTAGGGAATTAGGAATTGAAGATTTTTGAAACTATGTAAAATTAATTGTAAAGGCCTTACTGGTAGAGAGGAGGAGAACAGTGCAGTGTATTGACAAGGTCGACTCGTTTGTAAGGTCACTTCCCTCCCTTCAGATGCAGGTGTCGTAAGTGACTTCCCTTCCCCACATTCTCCTTTTTGACTCTATCTCCTTTACTCACCCATCAGCAATCCTTGGGAGGCTTTCCACCACAGCTCACCTGATTATTTCCTTACTTTCTTCTAGCTTGAAACTCAAAGAGGCTGTGCGAAAGGGGAAAGCTTGGTTAGATGCAGAGTTCTAAGGATGAAGTAGTTGGGAGATTTGATGGCCCACCGCTTAGTCCTTGGCAGGTCCAGTTCCTCTTCTCCTTTAGGATTCTAACACCACTCCCTCTCCTCGCATTTCAGCTAATGAAGAGAACATGTATAAGGCTAAATACCTCTCTTCTGGGGTAAAATAATGTTACAGCAGCATTTAGCAAATCTTTTTAAATGTTCCAAGCTTCCAAGCTTAAGAAAACGTCCATCCAAGGATTTTATTTCCCAGTTCTGAAGGAATCTGCACAAATTTAAACACTAAATAACTTACCTTTCCTTTAAATAAAAAGACAAATGACTAGTGGTTTTAAATTGCTGGGTTTTATTAAGATAATTGGCAAAATTTCAACATACTTCTTACCTGAATGAACAGTTTTAATAAAATATGAAGGATCACTCGTGACTACAACTGAACTCAAAAGTGAGCTGTAGAGCAGATCTGTGAATTGATAAATTTACTTGGTAAGAAATAATTCACTTCATTCGCTTCACTCCATAGAGAATTCTTTGCAGAGAAATGTTATGAACAAGAGAACAAAGCCTGTCTCTCACCAAAGAGCACCTAGAGTAAGAGTTTACAATGATGTATCTGGATTATCTAATTCATCAAAGTTTATTTCCTTTTCAAAAACAACTGCTGTGTCAGTCTGGAGTTCCCTGTCCTATTTCATGTTTTCTAATTAGTACAATAAATAGTCTTCAAAATAAAAGATAAAATGCTGCTACGGGAAGTAACAATTGTTTTTCAACACCATACCATTTGTTTGGAAAATCATTGTGTTATAATACTGGCAGTATCTTTCTTTGTTCTGCAAGAGACATTTAAGCTATTTGCAGATCAGAATAGAAGAGTGGGCATTTGTCCTTTAACATCACGTGATTTTCAAAGGTGAAAAAATTTCTTTTGCTAACGTACGATTCAAAGAAAAATGGCATCAAAGTATGGACAAAACTATAGTATTCCCTTTTATAGCCTTGCTTAGTTAAGAATGTTCACTGAGTGAATAAATTAGGTTTAAAAATTAAAACAATAATTTAGATCATTTTCCCACAAAGCCTTAGCAAGGATTTGATGGGGAAGGAAGTACTTGAACCATAGCAGTTTTATCTGTAAACACTGAACTTGGCCATGCATCATTTTCGTCTGCCCACTGGATGTTGCACTTCTCACTGGCACAGTGTTCAACAGTGGAGTGTGGTTGTCATGAAAATGCAGTATTGACACTATACCACTATAAATGTGGTCAAAATTAGACTCAGTGTTGACATTGACGTTGTTGCCATCGTCCTTGGAAAAGGTGTTACTTTCAAGGAGCCTCCTAAATGCAACAGTAACTTTAATCATAATAATTCAAGGACAATGGATGGCACTTCTAGGTAAAGAAAAGGTATATACATAAGAGTTTCTACCCATCCTCTTTAGAACAGGCCTAAATGGGATTAGTAGCCCCAGTGTGTGTTGCTGTAATGTTGCCTAACCTCATATCCCTCAGAAGTACACATCTAGAAACTGAACAAAGGAAACCTTTAAATTGGGGACCAAGTCCCTTTGAAACTCACAGTGAATGTACAAGGAGTTTGTCATGACTTCAGTTGGTGACCTGAAGTCTGTTTCCCTAACCAGTACTACACTCTTGTTTGGATTTATTTTACTATTTCCTATTCTAACAAAACTTGTTTAGCAGGCAAACAGATTGATGCAGACCATGTTAAATTGAAAAAGTGATACTGCCACTCTTTAAGGATTGAGTGTAGAACTTTCACCACCACTAAATTACACAATGAATAAAAATACAAAACACATAATTCACAGACTCTACCTCAGCATTAACAGTTTATATATATTATATAGATACTTTTATATCTGTCTAATATTTTTACAATCACCAGATACACCATCATTAAATACAAGTTACAGAAATATGTAGATACCATTAGTTAGAGGGTTACTTATTGCTTACGTCAGCAAGCAGCAAATAAGGGCACAGGATTTGAACTGAAGGGAACTACTTCCTATCACCAGTGGCGTTAAGATACAACACTGCATTTCACAAAGCACTGCTTTTTAATCTAGTTTGTAGAACCAAGAGCAGCATATATCAGACCAATAACCACTATTTTAGTATGTATTATAGAATTTTAAAGGATTTACCTTACAAATGGTACCTAACTACTCTATAAATATGCATGTTGTGAACAAATGAATAGTTGCTATTTTTTACAATATTGGTTTATAACGACCACACTAGAACTACTTTGCTTTATTTTCTAGAGAGCTAATGGCATGAGAAATGAGTTAACACTGCTGTGTAGTCGGACCTACAAAATCCACACCCTTAAAAATGGGTCTGTGTTTGTCCCAGTTTTACCCAGCCGTTTTTTTCCCCACTGAGAAAGCCTAGCATGTGAAACTTTTCCCCTTTACCTTCTTTATTCTGATCAAAAGCATTACCAATAGACAACAATAGAAATTTTAAAAAGCTTTTTTTTTTTTTTTTACTTCACTAAGCACTTTGGACTATAATGTGTACCAATAGTCTGCCGCCTCTGTTTTCTTGTTTTCTTAGATAATTTGATTTGAAACTGACACTGCACCTGATGGGTTAACAAGATCTAGGCTTCAGAAAGTGACAGCTATGAGTGAGGACCATGTGTGGGGCAAAGCCTCAGAATGATGAAGCTTCCAGTGCTATAGTTGGGGCCATGTTGACTCCTTTTCAGCCATTTGTCACAGACTTGAGAAGAAGAAATGACTTCAAAATCAAGAGAAAACAAATACTGAAAGTCTCTACTTACATCCAAATTTTTAAAAATAAAATCTGTAGATTAACAATGTGATGATTGCTAAAGTGACACTGTTTTTGTCTATTTGATATAGCTCTACTGGTACCCAAAATATGCCAGTCATCTACGTCTTTAAAATTCAGGGATTTTAGTTCTGTGTGGGCCTGGGGAGCGTGTCCTATCCTATAAACACATGATTAGGTGGGGGACACGTCTTAGCGAGAGCACTCACCCTTGTGAGTGAGCACTCCAGAGGTGCCACCCGTGGGCATTGACCGGGCTGGTCTGCAGTTGACTAGGGCAGGGTAACACCAAGACATTCATGACTCTCAGAGGATCAGAGGCTGCTTCACTGAATGAATGAATCTGATAGTTTATTTGTTGTCTTTAGTTGACAACATGCTTCTAGCTTGAAACTGCAGAAATAGCAAAAAGACAGTTTCAAAATATCAAATACAATATTGAAATGAGAAGCACGTGTCCTCTCTCTGCGGTCTGAAGCTACATGTAAGCAGGACACTGATGTGTCTTCCAGTTACAACTAAACAGACCTGGCTGTCAGTCATCTGCATTCTCAGTGGCTTCTGGGCTCACTTTAGGCAATACTTTCAGCCTCCTCCATGCCGATTACTTCACTCCCTTGGGGGAAATACTTTTAGAGAAGATAAAAGTAGCATTTTTCATTCTCTAAAATCACTTTTTATTTTATAGTGGTACATGCCTTTGCTGTCTGAACTAAAAAAAGTCAAAATACAGAAATGCTTTTGATTATCTTTGTAAATGGCATTTTGACTCTATAGTGTATTTGTACCTGACATCATCTCCGTTAAATCAGTTTTATTCCTGAGATGAGGGTACAGTGGAAAACACATTAGCATCATAGATTAAAACCAGTTGACAGCGGTCCCCTAAAATGCTAAATAATAAAAATTCCACCAAAAGCACCATAACAGGTTATGAAACTCCCAAGTAACTACAGCCCTAGGAAATATTTTTTAATTAAAAAAAAGTTCATAGTCTTTTATGTTACAGGAAAAAAATCCATAAATCTTCCTGACTATTAACCGCCTCACAAGTCTGAGAATATGACACTTTTACACTGATTTACCACTTTCATTATTGTCAGTTAAAATCCATATGGCTTTTAGTCTTTTACCTACCCAAAAAGGTTAGGGGGCAGGGGGCTCCTTCATAGTGCCCAGGATTTTGAGGGACATTTCCCAACCAAATTTAATTTAGCATTAAATTTTCCATAGACATATTAGGCACATCAGACCAGATTTCAGCCACATTGAGATTTCAACACTGTATATCCTGACTGAGATAACTAACTCAAAAGCCTCCACTAGTGACATGAAGGGATGGTGGGAAGGGGGTTGTATATAGGTGTCAAGACACATCACAGGGACCAGTTGTGTAATTTTGCAAGTGAAACTGCCAATACTTCTTTTTAGATTGAAAACACTGTACTTTGAGTTTCCTAGAGATCTATTTACATTGAAGAATTGAGCCATCCATGGATTCATAATGAAGCACATATGTTTTAGAAATGTCTACCTTGTTTCTACTCTGATAGTGGTATTTTTATTGGGGGAGAGCTAGCTAACCTACTTGAAAGAAAAATTACTCTATTTTATAGCTCCAAGGAAGATCTGGGCATGGAATATCATGAGTCTTTCTGAGCTTCCTCATGTTTTCACTGTACCCTTTCCAACTATTTTGCCTCCATGGCAGAGAACTTCTTATCCTATTTCTCTTCCCACTTCCAGTAAGTGAGGACAGGCTAGTGCCTATTTTGTGGGAAGGCTCTTGAGCAGAGAGAAATGAATAAAACTTTGGATTAAACCTGAATCTGTGCCACTTCTTTGAGTAGTGGTGGCGTAAATGAGACAATCTAGAAACTCTGTTTCCCGGGAATTTGAACTGTTCATTTTCCAACCCTGAACAGACAAGAGACAAGCTCTCCATTCTGTATATCTGCTCCCCTGTTGAACCCAAATTGAAAGCAGTGGGAAACTCTCCAGCACCACTCCATTCAGGCAATGATGACTGAACTGATTTTTTCTCCATCATTAACTCATTAATAAGATTGGCTTTCTTTGGTGCACCAGGACCAAACATTTCAACTGGTGGCAAAAACTGGGCACTGTGAGGTTTGCTTGCTTCTATTTGTGTGAGATCTAGGTAGCCTGGGTCTTCCAGCACGTTGATTTGGGACCCTGGGCTCAGACTAGTTCTATCAGTGAATGAATCCACACGCCCATCATAGCCTAGATCGGCTGGTGCTGAGCACTGGTGCTGAGGCCAAGGGCGTTTGCACTCTCCATGATTCTCCTTATCATCCCCACCATCTTCTTGCCCTCCTTGAAAAGAGTTCTCTGTCCAATCTGATTCCTCACTAACATTTACAGCTTTGTTCATGTCCCTCAGGAATACCACAATAACCGTGATGTTATCACTTGACCCAGCATCACGAGCTGATGCCACTAACTTGTGGGCAACCATGCTGCTGTCTCCGTTATTCTCTTTCAGGTGGTCGGACACAACTTTCACTGCCTCATCAGGGTTCACGGTGTCATAGAAGCCATCACAGGCCAGAATGAGGTAGTCTTCGGTCCCATCCAGAACAGTGGAGGCAGAATCTGCATCCCCACAGATATATGGCTTATGTTCAGCATCTCCTGCGGGAAGCAGAGTGTAGGGGCATCATTAGCCTTTGCTTTACCTTGCATGCTAAGAATGTTTATGACCAATGCCATGACTCTGATCACAACTTACTGGATTGTGAACTGAATTGACTGGAAATAATTTATAAAATAGTTTTTGACAAAATACCTAAATTCTCTGGTAATCAGATCTGCTTACTCCTTACTCCCAGTTAAATAATTGCTAAGTTACTGGGCATAAGTCCTTACCTAGCTTAGACTCTGAATCTGCACCTCTGGCTATGATTTAGGCTTAGCTGAGTGTAACAACAATGTCAGATCTAAGTTTGTTGCTGTACTGAAAAATTCAGTACACTATGTAGGAAGACATGGTTGATTTAGTGGCTATGTTCTTTTGCAGGTGGTTTTGATTTAGTTGAAATTTGAAAACAAGTCCACATTGAAAGAAACAAACCAAAGCTCTGATCATTCTCTTCATTAAATCATTTTTGTTCTATTCTTATTTAGAAATCAATAAATAGCTTCATGCTGCAAGCACAAAGGAAGGTTTGAATTACACGAGATTATATAAATCAAGTCTTAACTCCCTTAAGCCAGGAAGAGTTATGTGGCTGACCAAGGCCTCACACATGGGAGCTGAATGCAGTTTTCTTGATTCCCAACCCACTTGGCTTTCTATTTTTTAATGGTGCTTTTACCCATAACTTCTAAAGAACAGACAAAATGTATGGCCATTTTTCTCTTATATTTAGAGATTGCCATATTCTTCATATGGCTCTGATCATCACCCCACTTCTGTCTTTATTGTTATTGTGCATTTCCCCGCTTATTAACAACTGTGAGAATTCAAGGTCTTTCTGGGCCTTTCTGTCTTCCTTTTCTTGCTTAGCTCGTCCTGTCACAGAATGACATCTGAGCTGGTCCTGAAGGGTAAGTTAGTTGTCACCAGGCAGAGAAGTTGTCTCAATTGAGGGAACAGGATAAGCAAAGGCAGAGGTAACTGTTAGGGAGTAATGTGCTATTAGTTGGAGAGTAGGGTGCTTGGGGTAGGAGCGAGACTGCAGACCTTGGGCCCACACTAAACTAAGTTTCTATCACCAGACTACTGAGATAATTGATCATTTAGGATTTTCAGATCCACAGCACTTCCAAATCTATTCCTTATTTACATTTATTACATTCCTTTAGGTACTTTGTGAGAGCACAGCCAAAGGGTCCTTAGCCTATGAGGTAACTAAATAGCTTATGACTACAACAAGGGACTCTCATTCACTTTTTTTTTTTTTTGAGGCAGGGTCTTACTCTGTCACCCAGGCTGGAGTGCAGCGGCACGATCAGGGCTCACTGTAGCCTCAATCTCCCAGGCTCAGGTGATCCACCTACTTCAGCCTCCCAAGTAGCTGGGACTACAGGTGCACACCACCACGCCCAGCTAATTTTTCTTTTCTTTTTTTTTTTTTTTTTCTTTTTTGTAGAGATAGGATCACGCTATCTTGCCCAGGCTGGTCTTGAACTCCTGGCCTCAAACGATCCATCTGCCCACCTTGGCCTCCCAAAGTGCTGGAATTACGGGCATGAGCCACCACACCCGGCTCTCATTCATTTCTTTTTTTTTTTTTTTTTTGAGACAGAGTCTTGCTCTGTTGCCCAGGCTGGAGTGCAGCGGCACAATCTTGGCTCACTGCAGCCTCTGCCTCCCAGGTTCCAGCAGTTCTCCTGCCTCAGCCTCCTGGGTAGCTGGGATTACAGGTGTACACCACCACACCTGGCTAATTTTTGTATTTTTAGTAGAGACGGGGTTTCGCCATATTGGCCAGGCTGGTCTCGAACTCCTGATCTCAGTTGATCTGCCTGCGTTGACCTCCCAAAGTGCTGGGATTACAGGCGTGAGTCACCGCATCTGGCCTCTCATTCACTTCTTTACAAAAAAAAATAAAAACAAAACAACACAGGGTACTGAGCAATAATTCCTAGAGTAGGGTATCATAAATCATCATTACATAGTATTATAAAAACAAGAACTAAACTCCAGATATTTACAAAGGGCTTTACTGTACAGCAGTGGCATACTGCTTGGTGGTTAACGACACCAGCACTAGAGTCAGACTGCCTGGGTCCAAATCCTAGCTCTTCTATTTGTCACCTACACAACTCTCATCAATTACTATCCTTTCCATTGCACTAAAACCAAACTTTTTGACTCAGGGAAGATTAAAATGAAGATAAACTCACTTGAGTGATCTGACTATATATTCATTATTTCTAGTATCTGGCATGGGTTCTCTGACCCAAGAAAGTTGGCCAGACGCAGTGGCTCACGCCTGTAATCCCAGCACTTTGGGAGGCCAAGGCGGGAGGATACTTGAGGTCGGGAGTCCGAAGCCAGTCTGGCCATCATGGTGAAACCTTGTTTCTACTAAAAATACAAAAAATACAAAAATTAGCCAGGCCTGGTGGCGTGCATGTGAAGTCCCAACTACTCAAGAGGCTGAGGCAGGAGAATCGTTTGAACCCAGGAGGCAGAGGTTGCAGTGAGCCCAGATTGCGCCATTGCACTCCAGCCTGGACGACAGAGGGAGACTGTCTCAAATTAAAAAAAAAAAAAAGTTTCTTTCCAACATTTTACATTTCTGTTTAATCCTCAAATAGGCTAGAAAGCTCATTAGGAACTCTATGGATAACTCTGCTAGAACCAGTGTGGGCACATGCCCTATCCAGCAGGTTGCGTGATTAGATACACAGAGCAACAAATAATTACTTAATATAATTACCTGGGTTAGTATATCTATTAGGTAAGAAATTAGTCTTCGATGTTATAAACGTTCATTTCACTCCTTCCATTCACAAACATATAACCCTCTCATCTTACTCATATCTAGGCTCTTCTCCATTCATTCATTCATTATTTTTATTTTTTTATTTTGAGATGGACTCTCGCTCTGTCACCCAGGCTGGAATGCAGTGGTGCGATCTCAGCTCACTGCAACCTCCACCTCCTGGATTCAAGCGATTCTCCTGCCTCAGCCTCCCAAGTAGCTGAGATTACAGGCACGCACCACCATGCCCAGCTAATTTTTGTATTTTTAGTAGACACGGGGTTTCACCATGTTGGTCAGGCTGGTCTTGAACTCCTGACCTTGTGATCTGTCCGCCTCGGCCTCCCAAAGTGCTGGGATTAGAGGCATGAGCCACCGTGCCCAGCCCTCATTGATTATTTCTTACAGGAGTCAAGACCATCTTTCCCAAGCATGCTTTTGATTTAGTTAACCTCACTTCTATGCTATGGTGCCTCCATAGCCTGTTAGAGCTCATCAAAACTCAATCTATTTAAGCAGAAAATGCAAAAATTTAAAAGAGATATTTAAAAATAAATAAATAAAATCCAACATGGATTCAGTGTCCTTCATCAATTTACTAAAGTTCCCATCCCCTACTCTACCTGACTATATGATTATCATCATTATTATTTTCTGAATTCCACCTCTAAAAATAAATGTGATCTGAGTCACACTGTTCCCAAAAATCTTGTTTTAGTGCTTCAATTAAAAGACTACTGCAACTGTTAGTTTGGAACAGAACATACAAAGATTTGCACAGAGAAAATGCTGCCAAAGTTCTGGCTTTTCACCTGCTCTACTGTTGGGTGTCACATTCATGACATTTCGCCCCCAAATTTGGTAGGAGGGCATGAATATCCATTTCATGGTAGAAATGGCAACATCCTTTTGTCTTCAGCCTCCTCTCTCCATATGTTAGGAAACATATCATGCTTCTAAGTCAACTTTGGATCATAAGTCTGAAGGGCTCATGGGGAGAAACTGTTGAAAATCTTTTCATTTTTTAAGTATCATTTCTTTCCTGAGTAGAGCTGAACTCTGCCCAGGAGTCCTTTTTCTTGTCCTTTTGCAGCCCCCTATTTTATTCCATGTGGTTTCCAATTCTTTCTCAAATTCTTCAACTTCCTCATCCACTTAAGCTACTGTGTTTTGGTAAATGGCCTAATTTCCTACTTCAAAGACAAGTTGATCAGGCTTGAATTTTCTCAATTCCCCTCCCACTCCTGCCACACACACTCTCTTTGTTTAATCTGTAGCGATTCCCCCACATCAGCTACCATTTTCTAGGGGTAAGCAGTGTCCTTTTCCCGTCCTAACAGTGAGCCTGTGCTGCTGGTCCTGTCTCCCTAGGACTCTAGCTTCTCTACTCTCTCGTCTTCAATTTCTCCTCTACTTGCTGTCTTCCTTTTCCTACAAACATGCTTAAATCTAAAATCTCCTCATCCTAAAAACAGAAACAATAAAAGGGAACCCTTTCCTGAATCAGCTTTTGCCTTAAACCACCACACTATTTCCTTTCTCCCCTTCACCATCAAACTGCCCAAGAAATTAAATCTACACTTGCTCCTTTATGTTACTGCCTATTCCCGCATGCCAGATTGTTTGTTGATTAGTAGGTTTTCCCACCTACCAATCCGTCTCATCAGTTATAACCCTCCTCCATATCCCTTTTTAGCTCTCCTCATCTCTGTAACAAACTCTACGAATGTCTCCCAGCCAGCCTGTTTCTACTCTAGCCCAGCTTCCACACAAATATCTTTATAAATACAAATCTGACCCTGTGGCCGCTCTGCATATTCACCTGGTAAAGTCCAGACTACTTAGCCTTGCACATAAGGCCCTTCGCAATCTGGCAACACTGCTAATCTCTTACCACTCCCATCTCTGCTCTAACCTTCTGTACTTGTTGTTTTTCCTAAAACATGCCATGCCCTTTCAAACCCCTGTGTATTTATGCTTCCCTCTACCTGTGTAGGGATTTCCTTCCCAGCACATTATCCTCCAGATTCAACTCAAAAGTCACTCCATGTATGAAGTCTCCCTTATCCACTCTTAGATTATTTTTTATTATTAAAATAGAGATGAGGTCTCACTATGTTGCCCAGGTTGGTCTCAAAATCCTGGGCTCAAGCATTCCTCCCACCTTGGCCTCCCACAGTGCTGGCTGCCACACCCAGCCTTCTCTCTGAGATTGTCACTTATTAAGGGACATTCTTCCCATCTTTAGTTTTACCTTTTAGAAGAAGAGGCTGGTATCCTCTAGTAAGTTAGTTCTGTAACAAGCATTAAAGATGATCCTCAGTCTTCTGACAAAGACAGGTCAGATCAGGCGAAACAGGTGTTTGGTTTGAGCTGTCAACCTAATTCACTGGCCACTCAAGCACCCATATAATGATTATTAATGTAAATTGGTTCCACAAATAGTATAGTCCTCTGGTTCAGTGATTTTCAGTCAAGGATAGCATTTGATGGGTGTTGGGTCCTGTTAAACCTACAATGTGCATGATAAAGACTTTTCCCCACCAAGAATAATAATAATTCCATAGAAGGGTATATTTTAGAAATGAGAAATTTCCCCTTTTTGGCCTTATTCTAGAGTTCCTAATGAATAACTCCCTCCAGTCTAAGGTCAAGCCAACTCTCAATTTTTCAGGAGGTATTTGTAGACTCTTTTAGCTCTCTATTTCTCTTTCAGCTTTCTGCTCATATTTGGGCCACTTCACAGCTTGCCAGCACCTTCCCAAAGAGTGGGAGGAACTCAAATCAGTGGTGAAAGCTAAATCCTTTCAGATTTTCTTCAGGTTCTGGAATTTTTTGGTAATGACTAAATTTTGAGACTAGATGTGAATTTCAACCAAGTCTAATTACTTCTTTAGGGAAGCAGAAATTAAAAGCTGCAGTATACATGTAATGTACATCTCACCCATATAGATATACATATTGATTTATTCTTTTTTAAAAAAATAGGAAGTGAAGCTAAGCCATGAAGCCTAAAATAATAAACCCAGGGCCCAAAGTGAGACAAAGATAGAAATAGCTTAATTCTTTGAACTAACACCCTTGCATTTTGTCCAGCCAACTTAGCTGTTTAATCTCTATGTTTTAGACTGAGTTTCATTGACTTTCCCCTTCTTTTGAAAAATTTAAGTCCCAGGGATATACGGTTCTTTGAGATCCCAGGGTTGTCTGACAAATGACTGTGCTCCACATACAGAAAGTAGTTTGCATATAAAAAGCACAGTGTTTTTCCTATCAACTTATTCTGTTGTTTATGTCGTTTTAAAATTCATTGAAATAATTTAGAGGCATAAACAAAATAAATGTGGATAAAATATGGAGAAAGGCTTCCATTCTCTGGAAGATACTGATTTGACCCAAAATGCAGTGAAATAAGAAACACTGTCATTTTTTGTTTTTAAGACAGAATCTTTCTCCCTTGGCCCAGGCTGGGGTGCAGTGGCACAATCTTGGCTCACTGCAGCCTCAAACTCCTGGACTCAAGCAGTCCTTCCACCTCAGCCTCCTGTGTACTAGGACTACAGGCACAAGCCACTATGCCCAGCTTTTTTTTTTTTTTGAGATGGAGTCTCGCTGTGTCGCCCAGGCTGGGGTGCAGTGGCGCAATCTCGACTCACTGCAAGCTCCGCCTCCTGGGTTCACACCATTCTCCTGCCTCAGCCTCCCAAGTAGCTGGGACTAGAGGCGTCCGCCACCACACCCAGCTAATGTTTTGTATTTTTAGTAGAGATGGGGTTTCACCATGTTAGCCAGGATGGTCTCCATCTCCTGACCTCATGATCTGCCTGCCTTGGCCTCCCAAAGTGCTGGGATTACAGGCGTGACCCACTGTGCCCTGCCTTTGTTGTTGTTGTTGTTGTTGTTTTTTAAGAGATGAAGTCTTACTATGTTGCCCAGGCTGGTCTTGAACTCCTGGGCTCAAGTGGTCTGCCCGCTTCAACCTCCCACAACGCTGGGATTACAGGTGTGAGCCACTGTGCCTGCCCTAACTGTGGTTTGAAGCAGATTTGTGTACTAATGTTTAAAGGCTTCCATAAAATTTAAAATGTATAGAAACTAGGAAATTCTGCATTTCTTGATATGGTTCTCTTTCTTTTTTGTTTGTTTTGTTTTGTTTTTTTTGAGACGGAGTCTCGCACTGTCACCCAGGCTGGAGTGCAATGGTGCGATCTCCACTAGCTGCAACCTCCGCCTCCCAGGTTCAAGCAATTCTCCTGCCTCAGCCTCCCAAGTAGCTGGGATTACAGGTGCCTGCCACCATGCCCGGCTAATTTTTTGTATTTTTAATAGAGACGGGGTTTCACTATGTTGGCCAGGCTGGTCTTAAACTCCTGACCTCATGATCCACCCGCCTTGGCCTCCCAAAGTGCAGGGATCACAGGCGTGAGCCACTGCGCCTGGCAGTTCTCTTTCAATAATGGAATTTAAGTATATAAATGTACAGGTTTAACTAAATCAAACAATTAAAAAAGACATCCAATTATTATTTTAAAGAATAGTAAGCATTCTGGTAATATAAATTATCATCTCAGGTTCCCTGTATCAGAGTTAATACAGGATAATGAGCTAGAAGAGGACAGTTTGGGGAAACAAAAATTTGTTTTTCCTACCAATAGCTCTGGAGACTGACAGACTTCCATTCACCCTCCAGGCACCAAACCAGACTACGCAACCTCCAAGGGCCTCAATTCGCTGCTTTTCATCCTAAACAGCAATGCAATAAAAAGAAGCAAATAACTGGATTCAGGATTTATTCCTTTACTTTAACAGTAAACAACAGATATAATACTCATCAGCTCATGAAAAGGTTCTCCTTGTTTCTCCATTGGAGGGTGAGCACAGTTGCTGATGTAATAGCAATAACTGTAATAATTAAGGGAATCCTGGCCGGGTGCGGTGGCTTACGCCTGTAATCCCAGCACTTCGGGAGGCCGAGGCGGATGGATCACCTGAGGTCAGGAGTTCAAGACCAGCCTGGCCAACATGGTGAAACCCCGTCTCTACTAAAAATATAAAAATTAGTCAGGCATGGTGGCGCAAGCCTGTAGTCCCAGCTACTCAGGAGGCTGAGGCAGGAGAATCACCTGAACCCAGGAGGCAGAGGTTGCAGTGAGCCAAGATCATGCCATTGCACTCCAGCCTGAGCAACAGAGCGAGACTCCTTCTCAAAAAAAAAAAAATAAATAAATAGTAAGTGAATCCTAATCAATAACTAGAAAATCTAAAGTAATAACTAGAGCATGGGCTCTATTAAAACAGACCATACGTACCTCTCTGTCTGGTTTGTGTGGCTTCATTAGTTCAACAGCTTGACCCTTTCTCACAAGCATAACCTGGGAATCACCCACCCAGGCCACATGTAGCATGTTGCCTCTGATGAAAGTCACCACTCCTGTGGTCCCACATCTTAAGCTCTGAAAATAGTTTAAATAAAACTAGACTCAGTGAAAAGAAATAGATACAACATTCTTATTGAGAAGCAATTTATAATTAATAAAAGCTTTTCAGCTGGGAGCTATACTATTAATAATGGAATTTCACACATACACAATAATTCATTGTCCCAATGCATTTTTATATGCATGTATGTATTTATATATATATACACACATAAGTCCACCTGATCTGTGATATGCAGTGCAGGGATGATTATTAATTCTACTTTAAATACAGATAAGAAAACTATGGCAGGTTATGTGACTTGCCCAAGGGCAGGTAACTATTAGTACATAAAACAGAATTGAAATTATTTTTCCTCCCAGTCAAGCACCAAATCCTCTATACCAATCCTCAGAGTAAAAATTCTGCTCTCCATTTCATTACTGACATCGTATTTGTTCAGTGGGAGAGTCCTAGCTGTACGAAATGATATATAAAACATATGATTGGTACACAACAGATGCTCTAATCTCTGGAAATTAAGCTAAGGAGCCAAGAGACAGCTTACGTTCCCTGGAGTACTAAGATGCTTATACCTTTAAAAAATATCCTCCTGACAGTATTTTTAGAGGCCTTTGCTTTTGGAACATTGCATAAAGAACTAACAGCCTGGAATTTCACTGCAGTAGCTACCACTGTACTTAAAGCTCTTGATCCTACTATACGAAAATGACATCCCCATTTGACATGAGTCACCACCAAATGAGCATGACTTTCTATTACTAAGGACCTGGCCTAAATTAGAACCAATGCGTCAGGGGTGGTAAAAGGCCTCTTGTATCCAATGAGAAAAACAACTTCTCATTTCCCCTATATAGGGAAAGTTTGTTATAAATCCTCACCCACCAATAAAATATCTTCCCACACAGAATGTTCAAAAACTCAGCCCCCTAGAACACATGATAAACACACTTCAGTGCATATGCCCTGGAGAGAACAGGAGGCAGGGCTGCTTCACAACAGGAATAGCTGCTTTCTTCCCAGTGGTTAGTGGCACACAGAAGCATAAGAAGGAGAAAAGGGGCTGCTGAGACAAACCTAAATTATTCAGAACTATTGACAGAACTGAGAGACGCCAGGGTCATTGACAAAACAAATGAGGTAAACATGGTCAGAAAAAAAAAATTTTTTTTTTTGAGAAGACAGAGGAAAAAGAATAGAATAGAGGATAAAGAAGACAGAGTGATTCTCTTTGTTTCATATTGGTGATTACAGGTCACCTCTCAGGGGCCCGCCGTTGTCCTCAAATCAGATGATAAAAGCCTGCAGCTTCAAGAGAGGCAGAGCCAAGCAGAACACAGGTCCTCAAGAGACTGGGAGCTCTAAGGTCAAGAGCAGCTTTATTCTCCAGCACCACCTCTTTGTGTGGACTCTACTGGTTACTGTTGGATTTGCATATTAATCCAAATTTAGGGGAGGGGAGAGATTAAGAATAATTCTCTTTCTTAATACCAAATAGGTCTGAATTATTGTTTCATTAATTCCAAGCCCCATTATTGTAGGGGCTTGGAGGGGCTTGTAGCATAACTATGCTATCAAAAAAATGGATTAAATGATTACCCTGATCTCTTCAAGCCCATTTTAAAAAGAGTTAATGTGCCGGGCGCGGTGGCTCACGCCTGTAATCCCAGCACTTTGGGAGGCGGAGGCAGGTGGATCACGAGGTCAGGAGATCGAGACCATCCTGGCCAACATGGTTAAACCCTGTCTCTACTAAAAATACAAAAAATTAGCCGGGCCTGGTGGTGTGTGCCTATAGTCCCAGCTACTCGGAGGCTGAGGCAGGAGAATGGCGTGAACCCAGGAGGCGGAGCTTGCAGTGAGCCGAGATTGCGTCACTGCACTCCAGCCTGGGCGACAAAGCGAGACTCCGTCTCAAAAAAAAAAAAAAAAATTAACTCTTTTTTTTTTTTTTTGACTTAAACATTAACTCTTTTTTAAGTCACAGTGCAGGAGTCTTATTTTTTGTCTATCTACTTCTGTAATTACTTTTAAAAATTAATTATTTTCTTTCTATTCACCCCCAGTTAAAAATTCACTATAGAACACTGTAGTTAATTATGTACCAATACCCAGAACAATAATTAGATTTTTTTTTCCTTTTTTTTTTTTTTTTTTTTTTACTTTTAGACCTTAATATAGAGTCCTTGCCATTTATTCAAAGTAAAAAAACTTAGGTCTGATTAACCTTCGCAATGTAGGACATGAGCTCTGACTTTTCTCCCTTATTAAGAGAAAAATCAGCTCAAGGATCATTTAAGGATTCACCCTTTCCAAGCGAATTTTCCCTCAAGAGATACACAGCAAAACACTGCCTACCCATTTAGAACCAAATGTATGGAAGTAATCCCAGTTTCTGTTTCTTTTTTAGACCATTGTTTTATTCACCATATCCAGATCTTGTCAGCAAGAGTCTGCTTAGAGAGATGGTCCTGGTGTGAACCTGACAGGCAATGGTGAATAAAAGAAAGATGAAACTCACCTGCCAAATCTAGCAATTATTACAGAAATGAATCCAGAAAATTACAGCTTGAGAGTTTCTATACAGTACATCATTGTACCCCCTGAAACTATTCCTGAGGAGGGATTCAGAACTACAACAGAATCCAATACTATGAGTCAAGAATACAGTTTGGATAATGTCTGCCCAGAAAGAGAAAATCTAAATAGCCCTTTAACCACACAGACCAAATTGAGCTCAGCTAGTGCATTTCTAGCTGGAATTTATGAGAAAGGGGCATACCTCCCTGGCTGCTTTCTGCACAAACCGCTCATCAGTGACCCGGAAGGCCCTGCACAGGGCCTCAGCAGGATCATGGGGGAACATCTCCTGGCGGACTAAGTTAACGTGGAGGTGAATGGAGGCATAAATAGCAGCATCTACTCCCCCATGGCCATCAAACACTGCAAAGTAAGCTTGTTCTTCCTGGTCCTGTCAACGGAAACACAGAACAGTTAAGGGAGTTGGGTACAGCATGATTCAAATGAACCAATCTCCTGGCATCATTGTTGCCCATCCTTTCTCCTCCACTGCATTTGTCATTTGGAATAATGAGACTAAATGTATTCCTTCTCTAACATGCCTGATCAACTGCTGAAATACCTACAATATTAGGGCATCTGTGTTTACACACCAGAACACTGGAACACGTCATGCCCAATTAGCTCAAGCTGAAGTGCCCTCTCTCCGTGAAAGTTGTTGTCTTGTACCATGGAAACCACCCACGTACATTTGCTTCAAAATTGCTGTTACAAGTTGGGGGAGGGGGAATAGGTAGGGTATGAGAATGAACTGAACAAAAGCAGCTCCAGATTGAGTGTTTTTTTTTCAAAATGAAAGTACTTGAGTAGCAAAATTAGAACCTGAGAACAATAGAAAATATCTGGTCTTCCAACACAAGGCCAATTGAATTCAAGTTTAAAATATATAAAGATATGAAAGCATAAACATACTTCTAAACTATAATACCTTCCTCATAAATCATTCCGAGTCACACTGCATTCTCACCATAAATAGCACAGCATCTCTAAACTAGTTTACCAAACTTGAACCACATCAGATGCTCAAATGCCCTGTGTGGCTGACCACTTGGTCTCACCCCATGGTCTAAGATTTTAGTTTCACATTTCCTTGCAAAGGCAACTGCCAGAGGAGGATCTTCCAACTCTGTGCTTTGTCTTGACGAAAGAAGCCTAATCATAAGATTCCACATCAACAATTAAGCAGTTTGCTGCTTTATCATATGCTCAAGTGTTTAAATCTCAGATCTGTCTCACTTATAAGATCTGCGACGCACTGAACTCGCACTGAGTCCTGAGCTCCCTTCAGGCAAACAGCATGTAATAATTTTCATTTGCAAGTCTTTTGACTTCTTTTTCCTAGGCTCTAAGAGCCTTAGAAGAGTCCAGGCCTGTCATTGATTCTTAAGCGAATCATGTAGTTTTCTCATCTGTTAGGCAGGGACGAATTGCTGTCTCATGGGGATTTGGAAGGGCTACTAAAATAACAAGTATATCTGTACTTTGAAAAAGTTATTTTTATTTATTTATTTTTAGAATCAGGGTCTCACTTTGTCACCCAGGCTAGGGTAGAGAGGCATGATCACAGATCATTGTAACTTCGAATTCCTGGGCTCAAAAGATCATCCCGCCTCAGCCTCCCAAGTAGCTGGGATTACAGGCAAGAGCCACTGCGCCCAGCTGAAAAAGTTACTTTTAAAAGGGTATATTACATTCACAAAAGTACCAAATATAAATGTCCATAGAATAGTAACCAAAATATTATGAAACCTTTCTCTAACACACACATTACAATTAGTTCATTTAGCAACTTTAGTGCCATTAAGAAAGGATTAAACAACTCTCTCTAGAAATAATACTGGCTGGGCGTGGTGGCTCACACCTGTAATTCCAGCACTTTGGGAGGCCGAGGCGGGCAGATCACAAGGTAAGAGATCAAGACCATCCTGGCCAACATAGTGAAACCCCTTCTCTACTAAAAATACAAAAATTAGCTGGGCGTGGTGGCACACGCCTGTACTCCCAGCTACTTGGGAGGCAGGAGAATCTCTTGAACCTGGGAGGCAGAGGTTGCAGTGAGCCGAGATCGCGCCACTTCACTCCAGCCTGGTGACAGAGCAAACGAGACTCCGTCTCAAAAAAAAAAAAAGAAATAATCCTGACAGGTAGTATTTCTATCTCTACTGAAGCAGTACTCATTTTTAAATAATTCGAAATAGCACCAGAAGAAACAAAAGGAAGCCAAATGGATTTCTTTAAAAAATAAAAAATGTATAGCTTCTTTTTAAAAAAACAAAAAACATTCACTGATGTTTTTCCTATTACAATAATGTATGACAATTTAGACTAATAACAAAGGAAAATCACCAATAATTCCACTATACACAGATAACCAGTCTTCTTTATCTCTCTATATATACATACATATATATATATAAATGAAATTAGGATTAGAATGTGCATGATATTTTATAGCCTACTTTTTGTCTTTTTTTTTTTAATTTTATATTTTATATTTTGAGATGGGGTCTCGCTCTGTCACCCAGCTGGAGTGCGGTGGTGCGATCTCGGCTCGCTGCAAGCTCCGCCTCACAGGTTCACACCATTCTTCTGCCTCAGCTTCCCAAGTAGCTGGGACTACAGGTGCCCGCCACCACGCCCGGCTAATTTTTTGTATTTTCAGTAGAGATGGGGTTTCACCGTGTTAGCCAGGATGGTCTTGATCTCCTGACCTCGTGCTCCGCCCACCTCGGCCACCCAAAGTGCTGGGATTACAGGCGTGAGCCACCGCGCCTGGCCTGTCATTTTTATTATTGGCATTTCCTCATCTCACAAAGATTTACTTAAAGACATTGTTATAAATGGCTTAAAATATGCATCTTATATGAGCATATCATAGTTATTCCCTTTCATGATTTAGATAATTTTCAATTTATTATAAACAATGTTGTAAAAACATTTATGTCAAACAAAACATATGCCTAAGACTTTTCTGTATTTCTGTTTTCTCATAATAAAGAATTAAAAGTGAAATGACCAGATCAAAGAGTGTGAAAATTTATTAGGTTCTAAATATGTGTTGCCATATTGCTCCCAAAATCTGTTTCACTATAGCAAGGTGCTCCTTTCTGAGTTAAGTCCTCTGGGTTAATTTTGAAGTTAGGAGGCAAAATAGAAACCAATCAAGTCAACAAACAACAATAATGCCCTTAAATATGAGTATAATCTTCAAATAGGTATAGTGATATAAGGATTGTTTATCACACAATCCTTCTGGGTTACATTTGCATGGCCATGTTACTAGAAACAAAGACATCAGTTGATCTATCTTTATAACATAAGCACCAATTACCAACCTGCCATCATTGCTGATTAGACCTTGACAGTAAGCTAAAATTTAAATTTAGCTGCTAAATAGAGGAAATATTGTGCTTTGTATAAATTACTACATTGTAATTTTTAAGTTATGGACTGAGTGAAGAAAAGAGGCAAGTGACAGGCAAAGGAAACAAACCTACTTCTGTTTGCATTAACATAATACATTTAATAGAAAAAGAAAAAGATAACAAGAAAATAGTTATTAAGCTGCCAAGGCTCATATGGATCCAATTTGTCAGATACAGAGATTCATGAAATATAATTTCAGCTACTTTCCTATCTCAGAGACCAAGATTTTAAAAAGAAAATCACATGAAATAAACTGCATCAGTCTTAAATCTTCCTTTTGTGTTTGTGTTGCTTTAGCAACGTAGTAATGTGAGAACTTAATACACCATTTCATTATACTATAGAAATAGTTTGGGTTTTTTTGTTTGGTTTTTTACAAAACAGCTTCATTGAGATGTAATTTTTTAAAATTGTTTTTTCTTTTCTTTTCTTTTTTTTTTTTTTTTTTTTTAAGAGACAGTCTCACTATGTCTGTCACCCAGGCTGGTCTCAAACTCCTGGTCTCAAGCAATCCTCCCGCATCAGCCTTCCAAAGTGCTAGGATTATAGGCGTGAGCTACCGCACCCAGCCTAATCATTTTCTTTTTTGCTTATATGTTTATAGAATAGCTGTGGAAAGTGACACAAAAGACTACCTTGCCTCCATGGAAGGGAGCTGAGTACCTGGGAGGCAAGGATAAGAGCGACATTTTTATTTTCCCAGTTTTGAACCATGTGAATGCATTACCTATTCAAAAGAACATAAAATAGTTCCTTTTCTGTTGCAAATGTGTGCCACTTTGCATTTAGCACTGCTCTAATCTACCAAAGATACAATTAGAAGTATATCAGAAGTTTTCCTTTTCTAACAGGACCATGAAGGTGTTTGTTTTGTCTTTAAAATCTCACTGACTCTCCAGAAGTGCCCTTTACCTCTAGGTTGAAGAGCATATTAAAGTCAGGAATGCAGACATGTTTGTCCTCCATTTTCCTGCGCATGTTTTTGATGGCATGGATTGATGTCTCATAATAAAGCTGGGGTCTCCTGCGGAGGGGGAAGTCTTTCACCCAGCTGCAGCAAATCTCGTGTAGTTTGCTGAAGACAGAACGGGCCAATTTCACTGTCTCAATCTCTGTGAAAGAAACACAGAAACCCCCAATGAAGAGCCTTGTAAAACTGCTTTTCACTTCTCTGCTTGGTAAAGACAGAAGTAGGTCACCTTAGTCAAGTTCCTCCTTAATAGAAGAAATTCATCCTTCTCAAGAAAAATGAAATGCTGCTTCTGAAGAGAGAAAATCACAACCTATCTAGCAGAAAATCATCAGCCTGCAGCTGCCACTAAATATTCTTATGTCATGAGGAGAAAACCTTTGGCCAGGGCTGGACCTATTCCTGGCTTGATTTCTTCCAGCTGGAGAAGTGCTCTCACCACACTGCTCCCTAGTTCCCAGCACCGGTTCCTTTTTGGTTGTTTGCTATGGTTATCACCAGGAAAGCCAAGCCTCCTATGCTTAGAAAAATAAGCAGTGATTAACACTACTTCCATAGTCCAATTAGCTGGATAAATACCGTGTTTATTGGAATATGGAAGGCCTATGAAAACAGCCCACTAACTACAGAAATAAGAAGGGTGTATGTTGCTTACCATTTGTCTTTGTCCTCTTTCTCCCTGACTTCTTCCTTTACATCCAATTCCTTTTTCTCCTATAAATGATCATTTGTAACTGAATTGTGTGTATATATATATTTTTTTAAATTATTATTACTATTATTATTATTATTATTTTTGAGACAGAGTCTTGCTCTTGTTGCCCAGGATGGAGTGCAATGGCGCTCTCTCTCAGCTCACTGCAACCTCCGCCTCCCGGGTTCAAGCTATTCTCCTGCCTCAGCCTTCCGAGTAGCTGGGATTACAGGTGCCTGCCATCACGCCCGGCTAATTTTTTGTATTTTTAGTAGAGTTGGGGTTTCACCATGTTGGCCAGGCTGGTCTTGAACTCCTGACCTCAGGTGATCCACCCGCCTTGGCCTCCCAAAGTGCTGGGATTACAGGCATGAGCCACCACGCCTGGCCTGTTTTTTCTGTTTGATATATTTGTTTATTAAAGTTTTAGGCCATAGTTTAAATAGTTTAGCCAATAGGTTAGCAAATGAGCTAAAACTTTTATACGACTCTAAGGAAAATGTACTTAAACTCTGTCTATGCATGTGATCCTAGATAGAAAAAGACAGAGAGCAGCCAGAGGAGCAATACTAACAGGTCTTTTGACCCTAAGCCTGCCGCTTCACCTGTGTTTACCGCTTCACCTATTGGGTAGAATTGGCAAGCTGACTTCTGAGGTAGACATGTACCCTCAGTAGATGGACAGATGTGTAAGCCTTTTAAGCAACACTGAATGATACTGAAGAGATTGTATTTCCTACCATTGAACCCTCCACTCAAGTTGTCCTCCACTTAAGTTGAGCTACGGAAATAACCAAAGAGAGATTAGGTTTTCTCAGGCCAGTATTTTAGAAGTTCCTCCTACATCTCAGGTGGAAAAAAAAAAATCGAACTTAAATTTTCTTTTTACTGAACTAAATCAGATACAGCTTGACAGCCTGAGAAAATAAGTGCCAGATGGCAATGGCTACACATGCCTCCTCCAATCTAGAATACAAATCCCAAAGAAGAGAGAGACTATATGTTCTAGAACAGCCTGGGACCTGGACTACCAATTTGATTCTCAGTACTGTCTTTGCCTTAATCTGTGACTACATTTACCTCTTTTCTTATTCAAAATTATTTTTTAAATGACTATATTAAAAAAGCTGACCTCAAGTTTTTGTCCTTTTTTTCCCTCATTAACATAGCACAGGGTAGTAAATCCTGTCTTGTGGTTTTGTCTCTTTTATTTTATTTTTATTTTTTATTTTTTCTGAGACAGAGTCTTGCTCTATGGTCCAGGCTAGAGAGCAGTGGCGCAATCTTGGCTCACTGCAATCTCCACTTCCTGGGCTCAAGCTATTCTCCTGCCTCAGCCTCTTGAGTAGCTGGGATTACAGGCCCCCACCAACATGCCTGGCTAATTTTTTAATTTTTTTTTTTTTGGGGACGGAGTCTCCCTCCATCACCCAGGCTGGAGTGCAGTGGTGGGATCTTGGCTCACTGTAAGCTCTGCCTCCCTGGTTCACGCCATTCTCCTGCCTCAGCCTCCCAAGTAGCTGGGACTACAGGCGCCCGCCACCACGCCCGGCTAATATTTTGCATTTTTAGTAGAGACAGTTTTTCACCATGTTGGCCAAGATGGTCTCCAACTGGCTGGCCTTGAACTCCTGACCTCGTGATCCACCCGCCTCGGCCTCCCAAAGTGCTAGGATTACAGGTGTGAGCCACTGCGCCTGGCCATTTTTTTTTTTTTTTTTTTGAGACAGAGTTTCACTCTTGTTACCTAGGCTGGAGTGCAATGGCGCATTCTCAGCTCCCTGCAACCTCCACCTCTCAGGTTCAAGCGATTCTCCTGCCTCAGCCTCCCAAGTAACTGGGATTACAGGCGCCTGCCACCACACTCAGCTAATTTTGTTGTATTTTTAGTAGAGATGGGGTTTCACCATATTGGCCAGGCTAGTCTTGAACTCCTCATCTCAGGTGATCCAACCACCTCAGCCTCCCAAAGTGCTGGGATTACATGAGTCACCATGCCCGGCCATTTTTTTTTTTTTTTTTTGAGACGGAGTCTCACTTTGTCGCCCAGGCTGGAGTGCAGTGGCCGGATCTCAGCTCACTGCAAGCTCCGCCTCCTGGGTTTACGCCATTCTCCTGCCTCAGCCTCCCAAGTAGCTGGGACTACAGGCGCCCGCCACCTCACCTGGCTAGTTTTTTGTATTTTTTAGTAGAGACAGGGTTTCACCATGTTAGCCAGGATGGTCTCGATCTCCTGACCTTGTGATCCGCCCGTCTCGGCCTCTCAAAGTGTAGGGATTACAGGCTTGAGCCACCACGCCCAGCCTTTTTTTTTTTTTTTTTTTTTAAATAAGAGGATCTCTCTCTGTTGCCCAGGCTGGAGTGGGGTGATGCAATCACAGCTCACTGCAGCCTCAAATTCCTGGGATCAAGCAATCCTTCTGCTTCAGCCTCTCAAGTAGCTGGGATCACAGGTACATGCCACCATGCCTGGCTAATTTAAAAAACAAAAAACAAAAAACTTTTTTTTGTTAAGATGGGGGTCTCACTATATTGCTCAGTCTCATGTCAAACTCCTGGTCTCAAGTGATCCTCCCACCTTGGCCTCCCAAAGTACTGGGATTACAGGCATGAGCTACCATGCCTGTCCCTACTGTTAGCATTTTTATATAACTGAAAACCAAGGGTGAATTTAAAAGAGAAAAGATAAAGAGCAAAGACAGCCTGTGGAGGTATATACAAGAAGGAAATTGAGGTCAATAGACAATCCAATATTTTGATTGTTTTAAGCAACTACAAGTTTTATTTAAGCACTAGCTTGCCAGAGACTATTTCTTCCAGCCAGCAATTACTTGCTTGTATGACTGCAACCTATCTGGTCTCTGCAGCAGTATAGGCCCCCAGATGCAGACCCTGAGATGGACATGTCCTCATCTGACATAGCTATAACAGAGGATTACAAAACAATCAAGTGAATTTAGAAACTTTGAGGGAGAATGGGGTAGGGTGAAACAACATATTAACTATCAGGATAGTTCCCAGATAACAATATAAACTATTGTAATATTCTTTGGCTTGTATATTACTCTTATATAGATCTGCATTGTCAAGTACAGTACCTACTAACTACATGCGGTTATTTACATTTCTTTTTTTTTTTGAGATGGAGTTTCACTCTTGTTGCCCAGGCTGGAGTGCAATGGCATGATCTAAGCTCACCGCAACCTCCGCCTCCCAGGTTCAAGCAATTCTCCAGCCTCAGCCTCCCAAATAGCTGGCATTACAGGCATGCACCACCATGCCTGGCTAATTTTATATTTTTAGTAGAGATGGGTCTTCTCCATGTTAGTCAGGCTGGTCTCAAAATCCTGACCTCAGGTGATCCATCTGCCTTGGCCTCCCAAAGTGCTGGGATTACAGGTGTGAGCCACCGCACCCAGCCATGGTTATTTAAATTAATCAGTAGGGTGCAGCGGTCCCAATGTGCCGACAGCTCCAGCTACCTGGGAGGCTGAGGTGGGAGAATTGCTGGAGCCCAGGAGTTTGAGGCTATAGGATGACATGATAGCTCCTGTGAATAGCCACTGCACTCCAGCCTGGCCAACATAGCAAGACTCCATCTCTTAAAAAGTAAGTTAAAATTAAATAAAATTTAAAATTCAGTTTTTCGGTCACATTAGCTCTATTTCAATTGCTTGATAACCACATGTGGCTAATGGCTCCTACATAGGGCAACACAGGCAGGGAGCATTTCCATCATTGCACTGTCTATTGGACAGAGCTGGTATAGACAGATTAAACTGATTAGAGGGAGTAATATCAGTTTCCTCTAACATTTGATAAATCACTAGATCTGTTCATACCACTCCCAGTTGCTCCTTCCCCTGTGTCCCCATTATACTTTGTTCACGCTGTCTATTAAAGCTCTTAACCACTTTTGGTAATAATAAATAACATTTATTGAGTATCTGCTACATTCCATGCCTCTAGAACTTTTCACAAATAGGTAACATCATTCTCAATCCTAGGTTTATCTGACTCAAAAGTCCATGTTCTTCATCTCCAAATTAGACTGCAGATAGCGACTGTCTTAATTGCCCTTGACAAGCCATAATTAGTACCTAGCAGACAGCAGGTATACATTAGATGCTTGTTGAAAAAATAAATATGCAAACTGTCACATAAATTAAATAACCATTAAAATATTAAACATTTATATGCTTCTTGATTGTGTTCTGCTTCACTCATCTCAGCATCTATTTCTATAATGCTACCATTCTCTTTAAGTTACCATAACTTTAAAATGTTTTAATATCAGGAGATCTAGTTTTCCTATCTATTACTCTTAATTTTAAAGGATGTCACTTGGTTTTTGTGTTTATTTTTCCAGGTGAACTTTCTAAACATTTTGACAAGTTTGGTCAGAAAAACCTGTTGCTATTGTGTTTGGGATCACATTAAATTTATAG